CCCATTTTTTTTATTGGATTATGTGATCTTTTGGTGTCCAATTTCTTGAGTTCTTTGTATATTTTGGAGATCAGCTCTGTCTGATGTGGGGTTGGTGAAGACCTTTTCCTATTCTGTAGGCTGCTGTCTTGTCTTGTTGACTGTGTCCTTTGCTTTACAGAAGCTTCTCAGTTTCAGGAGAACACAATACTTCTGACTGTCTGTGAGGGCATTTCTAGAGAGGTCTGACTGAGAACAGAAAGACCTAGCCTAAATGTGGGAAACACTATCTTATGGACTGGGATCCAGAATAAAGAAAAAGGAAAACATGAGCTAAGCACCAGCATCTACCCCTCTCTGCCTCCTGACTGTTGCTACGCGACCAGCACGCTTCCACAGCAATGCCTTCCCCAGGGCGGTGGACTATACTCCTAAACCATCAGCCAAAACAAATCCCTTCCTACCTTAACTTCCTTCTGGCCAGGGCTTGCGTCACAGCAACGAGAAAAGTAACTAACACAGACCCGGAACTCAGCTCAGACCCTGGACAAATGAGCTACACTTGAATGAGAGCCAGCAGCTGGTTTTACGCTCCTGTAAGGGCTGCATCAGCCGCTAGGTCGTTAGACCATGTTCAAATTCAGTTACAAAGGTTACAGAAGCTCAACTTTGGACTCAATCCCCACTAGCAAGTAAACAAATCCACGTGCAGCATCAGAGAGAGAAACTCTAAGCCTGCTCACTACTTCCATGTTGCCTCCTGCAACCTGAAAGACACAAAAGGGCAGGACTTTGCACTTCTTCTGCTCCCAGGAGGATTTCCCAGCCACAGTCTCTTTTCTCTTCCTCGTTCAGATCTTTGCAGCCTGAATCATGACCTACAGGAAAATAGAACTTTTCTCCCCAGGGTCCCAATTAAATCCAGACTCTTTCCCTTTGAGCCACACATCACCATGGTAATTAATGAATTCTCTGTTTAATGTCTACATCCTCTTCTGGACTGTAAAGTCCTGAAGGTAGATTCTACCGCTAATTCCCCCCACCACATCCTGTTTCCAGTGCCGTGTCTGGTACTTGGAATGAAATTGACAAATGCTTATGAAATGAATGAACATAAAATCTTAACATCATGTTTTAACTCTAGAGAGGCACTTACGTCAAGTTTTATTGATACTGGTGAAATTAAAGTTACATAGGTTATTTAGTTTTTGCCTCTAAGCACTGAGGCTCATTTCCCACAACACTGATGATTCGGGAAGGAGAGTTTGTTTTAGAAGACTTAAACTTTAATTTAAATGTGTTATGAATATTAGAATATTTGACAGAAGCACAGGACACAGGATTGGAAATCTCTACTACACATGAGAGGAGAAATGTGGTGTTTTAACCAAAAAGAGGGGAGAATAAGATAACAAACTACAGATATTGACAGTCTGGTTCCCCATTAGGAACCACAGCAGCTGGACTTGAAGCTGCGATTTTCCGTTCATGGCCACTCTCGGCAGGGGGATGACTCCTGCAGGGGTGTTCATCCCGCCCACACCTCCTCCGAGAACTGAAAGCACCACCTCCCCTCTCATCCCATGAGTAGACAGGCAGCGACAGTTTCCATCCAAGCACATTTTGTAGGAAGGAAACCAATTTCCCGCCTTTAAATCTGCATGCTATTATCCTCTAACATCATAGTCTGCTCTTTCTCGGTAGGGGCCATTAGACAGCAGGTCCGGGAAAAATCAACTCGGGAGAATAAATCATGTGATCAGAAACTGTAATATCACCAATCGTGAGCATATGTCCTTCCAAAATAAAGAAAATAGCTCATCAACTTCAAAGGAATCTGGCAAATATCCAAAGAAGCAAGTCTGGCCTCTCAGGCTGCTAATCCATGCTCTGTGAAAGAATTCTCAAATTTTCGCCTGAGAGTAGAAGGTCAGACTGCATGCTAGAGGCCTCTGCAAAGCCTCTGGAAATGAATCTGTAATCCCCAAATTTTCCAAAAGGAGGGGTTTTTTACAAACATATTCCATTCTATGTTTTTTAAAACTTCAGACATCTCTGGTTTTTCCTTATTGCTATATTAATATATATGTTCAAACATAAAATATGCATAGCTGTATTGTGCAAAAGACTACATATGAGCTTTATATGTAATTTTAACTTAAGTCATCAATTAAAAAGAACAAAAAGAAATGGATGAGATAATTTTTGAATCTACATCCTAATATGTCTGGAATATTACCACTTCACATGTAAGCAATAAAAATATTTCTGAGATATTTTTTGCATTCTTTCATACTCAGTCCTCGGAATTCAGCATGCATTTTAAACACACAGCATTCCTTGGTAAGGAATAGCCACAACTTAAGTACCCAGTAGTCGCATATGACCAATGGCTGCCCAGTGGACAGTGCAGACACAAAGCCCACCCCCAGAAACACAGCGCCCAGCTTCAGTAGCCGTCAACCACTCGCTAGCCACCTCATTTTCTCTACACTTCCTCCCGACCCAAATGCTAAGGCTCATAGTATGAATCCATGTTCACATCTCCGTGATTAGCTCTCTCTCTTAACCATTGGCCATTCAAGTTGTTGTCTAAAACTCAAGCTGAGGTTTGTAAGTGGTGGAGCATGTGTTAGTACCCCAGTGGCAGTACCCCAAAGGTCCTGGGTGAGGTCCCCAGCACCACAGGAGGAAATCAAGATACTCTGAAGACCCCAACATGACAGTTTCAGTAAAATACTTTATCATCCGGATGCTTCTCCACATCTATCTCATGTCACACAGGGTAACACCAAGATGCAAAGGGCATCGCCACTGAGTTACTAGACGGTCTGGAACTCACCAAAATCTGCCTGCCGCTACCTCCTGAGCACTGGGATTAAAGGTATTATGCCTAACTTCAATATGGTATGTTTAAGCAGTGAGGGGGAAAAAACATGAAGTACTGATTCCTGGCATCCCAGGGATGAACCTTGAAAAAAAAAACCCTGGATGAAAGTAGTCAGACACAAAAGGTCACAGGTTGTGTATCTTCCATTACAGAACAGGAGAGTCCACACAGATACAAAACAAGGGTAATAAAGTGTCCTAAAATTAGTGATGGTGATGGTCGCACAACTATGTGCATATACTAAGAACCAGTAGTAGTACATTGTGTACCTTAAATGAATTGCATGATAAATGATTTATGGTTGTATGATACATGATTTCTTAGTTAGCATTTCTATTGCTGTAAAGAGACACCATGGCAACCCTTATAAAGAAAACACATTTAATTGGGGCTAGCTTACAGCTCAGAGGTTTAGTCCATTTTTGTCATGGTGCCACGCAGGCAGGCATGGTGGTGAAGAAGAAGCTGAGAGTTCTACATCTTGATCGTCAGGAAGCAAGAAGAGAGAGACACTGGGCCTGGCTTGAGATTCTGAAACCCCAAAGCCCACTCCCAGAGACACACTTCCTCCAAACAAAGCCATATCTACTCCAATGAGACCACACCTAACGGTGCCACTCTGAGCCTAAGAGGGTCATTTTTATTCAAACCACCACACACGAAATATGCCTCCACTGTGGTTGTTTTAAAAAGTAGTGGCCAAATAGGCTACATACATACAATGCATTTATACTATATTATCCAGATGTAAATATGCTTCATACATACAGTGCGTTTTTACTATATTATCCAGATGTGATACAAAAAGACAAAACTGCAGCAATAAACTCCAGCCACCAACTCTCCTCCCTCCGAGTCACCTGATCCAGACACTTTAAGCAGAGAACGTTATTTGGGGGATCCCTGAATCATTGTAATTAAAGCCACATGAGAAACGGTGGCTTAGATCAAGACTTCAGACAAGTGACAAAGATTCATACGGCAGAATGGTAATGGCTATGGTGCATGATGAGAAGGTAATCATTCTCCAACTCCAAGGAAGGCTTCCTGAAAGTTGTGCCTACACTGAAGCAGAGATCCATGACTAAGCATGAGGAGGGTGAACATATATGAGCAGGGATTCCTGTGATGAATAATACAAAAGATCCCTTTCCTGCGTGGCCCTAGTGGTGGGGTGCTGTCACTCAGTAGTGCAAGTGACGACTGGTGAGCTATAAGGTCGGACAGGAGCTGGACCTGATCCTAAGGGACCTCAGAAATATTAGTAGACTCTGAAATATTCATTGATAATGCAAAACAACTATAACGTGTATATCTGTTATGTGTGTGAGTACATGCATGAGTGAGTGCCAGTTCAAGTGCATGTGAGCACATGCATATGGAAGCCAGGAGATAACCTGGGGTGTCATCCCTCAGGTGCTATCCCCTGCTTGCTTTCTTGATAGGGCCTCTCAGTTGGAGCTCAACAAGAAAGGTGGGCTACCCAGCAAGCCCCAGGATCCAATTGTCTCCGCCTCCCCAGAGCTAGAATTACAAGCACCAGCCACAGCACCCAATGTTCTGGGAATCAAACTGAGGTCCTTGTGGCTGCAAGGCAAGTGTTTTGTCATGTGAGTCATCTCACAGACCCTGTAATAGACTTTCAATAACAACAGCATTAGCACAGACATGAAGAAAATGGTGTATATCACATACATGGGATCTATCCTACAGTGCCTGTTATAGATAAGAATTTATGATCCCTCTGTGGCCTTAAAGGGGGTTGTTCATGCAGGTGCTCCCAGGGATTTCACTAGCTGTTCTGTTGCTTCAGCATAAACTTACAAAGGCATTAAAGTATTACAGATCAAACACTAGAAAATAGGACTGGGCAGGATGGCTCATGCCTGTAATCCCAGCACTTAGCAAGAAAATGAATAAGTTCAGCCTGGAGCCACATAACAGCACCTTATATTTTGAAAAACAAAAAAAAAAAACCTAGAAAACAAAATGACACATTCTAGCTGCTTTTTAAAAACATAATACAATGTAATCAAACATAATTGTATAATATTCTTTTTCAATTGAGTATTTTCTGTCAATAGGACATCAGATCCTTATGTCAAGAATAGAAACAAGAAGAATCACTCACCTTGCCTTCAAGACATTTAAAATCTGGGAAAGGGGGCTTGGGAGATGGCTCAGGTAGTAAAGTACTCGCTATGTGAACATGAAGTTATGAATTAGGATCCCCAGAATCCACAGCAACCTCAGCACCAAGAGAGACCTGCATGAACATACACAAATATTCCACACATGCACACAATAATTAATAATATAAATAAAGTCAAAAGGGCAATACAGTTAAATATAAAGACTGGGCCAGAAAGCAAAGGAACAGGAAAGCCAGGAGATATAAAAGGCCCAGAGTACCAAAAGGAAAGGAATCAACAACAAACTCAGTGATCAGAACTAGGAGCTCATTCACACTTTAAAAAAAAAAATGTCTTGATAAGGCTAGTCGGGGTGGCATGGGCTTTGACCCCAGCATTCATCAGATAGAGGTAGGTGGAACACTACGAGTTTGAAGCCACCCTGGGCTACACAGAGTTCTAGGCCAGCCAAGAGATGCATAGTTAGACCCTATCTTGTTTCAGGTTTTGTCTTTTATGTGCTCTGACAGTTTGGGTTCACAGAGATTATGTTGCTGGAAGTAGTTTCTGAGCTGAGCCTTAAAATATCTAGGCTCTTCCAGAGCAAGGCAGTGAGAGAGAGCGCTGAAGGCATAGGCATGCATGGGCAAGACCAGACAGACGCTCTGGTGACAAGGTCCAGGTTGCCAACACACAGGTCAGGAATGCTGAAGCGAAAGCCAAGGCTGAACCTACCATCCCAAACCCTGAGTTAGCCTAGGGAGTCTACAGTAAGTGGGTAGATAAAGGGGGCTGGGGTTTGACTCTCGGTTCCAACATTTATTAGAAGCAAACTGAACTGAGCATTTCCTAGACTCCCTTGTCACTGAGGTATAACTCACCTGCTTTGATGTGACTTTTAAGATGGAGAGAGGTGATGCATGGCCAGCACCTCTGCATGACAGTACTCTCTGCATCCAAGCGCAAAGCTGCTTCTCTAATATTGCTCATAACTATAAAAGCCTTCCAAGAATTTTTAACACTACAATAATGACAGTTCTTCAAGAACCTGCTTCACTGTGCATGGCAGACAGAAGAGAGGAAAGAAGATCACTTGTAAGGACGTGTTAGGGCAGAGTGAAATCCCTGAACTAAGGTGCTGCAGGGATCTTACAAAGCCCAAGAGAGATATTCATACCAGGGCGGAGGGAAGCAGGAATGTGGTCTGAGCAGTTGTAACTGAGAGGGCAAAACAGAAGTTTCTAGAGAAGGCCAGAGAGCTGATGACTACATGGGTTTAGACGGAATGGGGGTTTGCAGGAAACTGTACAGCTCTCAGTTATGAATGGGAAGAGTGTTCAGCTTTACAGATCCCACAGTCCCGGACGCCTCTCATCCCCCTCACTTCCAGGGGCATTCTAATCCACTCCTCCCCGGAGCTCTCCAAGTGGAAATGTCAATTAAGAAAAGGTAGTCCTGCCAAGAAGCTCATTATAAAAACAAATGATGGGTTATCCAGACCCTCATGCAGGGAGAAGCATTACACGCCTGCCCTCTTCTTGGCCACTGGCCCCTTAGGAGGCAATCATATCTTCTCTTTTAGAATCTCTCCACACCCTCAGTTTCATGCAAGGGGTAGAAGAAGCAGAAATGCCTTTTGTTTTACAGAAAAGTCGCTGCAGCGCCTGCTGGGCTGAGTGGTCTCTGCGTCTGGGAGGAAAGGAACTGCCCAACTTTCCAGCCCTTCCCGAGCAAGATGGACAGCATCGCGCCTCGAGCTCATTGACCACAGTGGGGAAGAGCAGTCTGATTTCTGTTTGGATCTGGTTGAAATGAAGATTTTTCTTTCCTTCCCTATTAAAAGGCCCTGATCGACCAGGCCCACAAACCATACACTCACCCACAAAAATCAATGGCAGTGAGAGCCTGGACCATTCAGAAGCAGTGCACCTGGAGTGCCTGGTGCCGGCACCGCAATGCCTACAGCCCAGTCTCAGATAGCATTGGAGCATTTTACCAGTGAACTGCCTCCCTGGGTTAACACTGGTTAAATAGTGAGACAGGAAACATCAGAGTACAGTGGAAGGAGCTAAGGGTTTAGAGTCAGAAAGATAATGAGGCGCTCTGGGAGTTACTACTGACCCCAGGCAAATTCGTGAACTCCGCTGCAGTTTCCTCAGCTGGTGAAGCCTGTCAAGATGGTGAAGATTAGGACATAAAACGCCCTGTGCACTCTGGTAGTCTCTGGCCTATAACTATTCGTCATTACTGAAAACAGATCTCAGGGATAAGACAGCAACTCTTTTAAGATGCGCAACATGTCCATTGGCTGTAAAAGTGGAAATCATATTTTCATCTCTTAGAAGTAACCCAACACAAGAGAAAAACAGGCTAGAACCATGGTACTAGAAGCATGTTTGCCTTGGGGCAAGTAGTTAACCCACTTGAGTCTCAATTTCCAGTTCCCTAAAAAATGTCTAGCTTGAATCAGGTTCGTAAAAGGCAGTTGCTAGCAAGCCTGATTGCTGGAGTTTGATCCCTGCCCCCCACCACACACAGAGAGAGAGAAAGAGAGAGAGAGAGAGAGAGAGAGAGAGAGAGAGAGAGAGAGAGAGA